AAAGCCTCATCTTGTACCTGTGGAGCAGTTGGCAGGTTCAAACCATCGACCTTGAGGCTTGCAGTCCAGGGCTTATAACTATAGAACCACAGCATTCCCACATCTTTCTTACAAATACACAAAAAGATGTGGCTCAGCCAAATAAGAAAATAAAGTAAGGGAAACAATGTGTGGGATCCAGAAATGATAAAATATAACATAGTTTGGTCAGCAAAAAGAAGTGTGAGAATGAAAGTTCTGTATCAGACTAGACAGTACAACCACTCTGATTGGAATAGGTGGTCGCTGAGTTGTATGGAAATGAGTTTACGGATATAAAATGTTTTTAAAGCTACAGATGGAGTATTTTTAAATATACTTGAGTTTTTCAAAAATTAACTGAAATTCACATTTATTGACATATTTATTAAAATCTAATAATACATAAAAAGACAATAAAATAAATCACAGTACAAAGAAATTGCTGACTCCAGGAAAAACAAAAAATCAAAATAAAAAGACTATGTCCCTGAGCAGTGAACAATATTTAAGTATTCACAATAATAGGAAGAGTGAAGAATAAAACCAAACTGAAATAACCAATGAAAGGCTAAGTGCACGGCGTGGTAAGATCTACATCTAGAGTTAGGATAACACAGGAAGTTAATAAGGCAAACTTAAAATGGATGAACTGAAAACAATAGGAGCTGGATATTATCAAGAAAATTGTGAATAAAATGCCATAAACAACAGCCAAATGGTTTAAACTGGCTGCTTCTGGAGTCCAGCTGAAGAGGCTGAGGAACAGATGGGGTTTTATATTCTAAGTCTTTTATCAGCAGCTGAGTTTTAAAATGATGTGTTACACATTAGTAAAAGTTAAAATGTGTAAAACTCAAGAAAGAGGTGGGTGAGACACAGGAAGAATGCAGAGCTACAGGCAAATTCTCTGCCGTCTTCTAATAAGAGAACAGCTGACGCAAAGCTGACTCAGGATGAGAGCACAGACAGTCTGGTTGTTTCTCTTCAACTGTATTTGTCAACATCTGACAAAACACATAACAATCTAAATGTTTAACTTTTACAGCTCAAAGCATGACGTATATTTTATTTAACTTGAAAGTTAATTTTATTTCCTTTAAATTAAAGAGTTGACTTTATTCCTGAGAAATTTAAAATAATTTAGCTATGCAAATAACATACTATTATAGTTTCACCTTCTTCTTCTTTCTCCCCGGCCCAAAAAGAACCATGATTTACTGTTACATTATCTCTCACATTATCGGAAGAACTTCTACTGTTGAAAGCTTTTTTATATTATCAGAAGTCTCTGGTAACTCCTGAAACTGAGTCATGCTTTGAGTCACCCTGTTCGCTGACCTTCTGAGATGTATTGTCAGGAGTTTACCTTTGGCTCTCAAATTCATTCTGAGACTCATAACAAAGATGACTGTCAACAGTATTCATATCTCATAGCCTGCTCTTTTTTGGCTGTAAAGGTCTCACTAGAATGTTACAATGTGAGAAAAAATTCAACAAGCAGCAAAAAGAACTGGAGTGTAGTTTAAACACTGACACAAACTAATTGAACTCAACCTCTCTGGACCATTAGTTTATCATATGAAAAACGAGGGAGTAAATTTAAATAGTTTTATATTACAAAAGTAATATATGTTCCCGAAGCCAGATAATAATAATAAACAAACAAACCCTAATCACTTATCGTCCCAGCGCTGCTGTCATTTTGGGACGTTTCTTTCCAGAACCGTTTATGCATTCATAAGGAGCTCTGGTTGTTGTTGTTACGTGCCGTCGAGTCGGTTCCGACCCATAGCGACCCTGTACAGGGTTTCCGAGGGTGTAAATCCTTACGGGAGTAGAAAGCCTCATCTTTCTCCCGCGGAGCAGCTGGTAGTTTCGAACCGCTGACCTTTAGGTTCGCAGCCCGATTCGTAACCACTACGCTACCAGAGCTCCTTAAGGAGCTCTGGTAGCACAGTGTTTACGAGTAGGGCTGCTAACTTCAAGGTCAGCAATTCGAAACTAGCAGCCATTCTGCCGGAGAAATATGAGGCTTTCTGCTCCCGTAAAGATTTACAGACTTGGAAACCCTTTAAAGGGTCACTATGAGTCATAACCAACTCCATGGCACACCACCACCACCACCACTGCCTACTTATGGTGCTGTAGGATAATGCTCTGGACTGGAAGGTTGGTTTGAACTACAAGGTCAGTGGTTCAAACTTACCAGCCACTCCTCGGAAACCCTATAGAGTGGCTATGAGTCAATACCAACTCAGAGACACGTAACAACACTCCCTTACTTTCCACCTCTCCTATTATCTGATGTTATACTGCATTTACGGTAATATTAAATATATACTAGTTGACTATTTTGCACATTAACAATGCACATCTAATAGTAATGAACACTGAGGTGCAAGGCTAGAATAACACTGACTCTGATGATTAAAATTACATGTCAACTTGACTGGATTATGATGCTCAGTGGTTTGGCAGTGATGTAATGATGTTGATTTGGCAGTGATATAATGATGTACCAATCTTCCCTTCTAAGATCTGATGAAGTCATCCTCCAGTTTCACATTATGCCAATTTTCATGTAACAACCTGATGTAGCACTGTAGGATAAGCACTGGACTGCTAATTGCAAACTCAGCAGTTCAAATCCATCATTCACTCGTTAAAAACCCCATACACGGTTGCTATGAGTCAGAACTGACTCTACAGCACTTAATAATATACCTGGTCTTTGAAATGTAGCCATGTAGTAGATAATATTAAACCTGAAATTTTTACTTACCAATATTAAACATTTTTCTAAAATGTTTAATTTTAACAATATATACATAGGTAATTTATTTTAATCATCTCCTAATGTTGTTGTTCGTAAGTGCCATCAAGTCAGTTCCAACTCATAGTGATCCTGTATAGGGATTCCAAGGAGCAGCTAGTGGTTGTTTGAAATGCTGACCTTGTGGGTTAGCAGTTCAGTGCTTATCCTAGAGTGCCACACCAGGATCAATGTAGTTGAAACAAATGATAAATAGAATAAATATCACTGATGTATTTTTCTTGGGAGCTTTGAACTTTGAGTCCCAGAACACATGCACAAGCCCAATGGCACCAGAAATAGCTTGGAAAACACAGCTTAATGTGAATATTCAGTGAAGTTATCCCTTATAACATAAATTTCAAGATCTGATATTCTTGAAGAAAGGGTAAACAACATTCTAAGACTCTTAATGATTAAGGCCAAAGTAATCTTCAGAAAGGCTGAGCTACTTCACATTCCTATTAGTAGTATACAAACCAATTTTTCCTGCACCAAACTCAAGTTATTTTTATTCAATTCTGATCAATTTGACTTATAATACTATCTTCCTTAATCCTACATTTATTTGACTCTTGTTGCTGCTGTTGTTAACTATCAGTCTAGATTATTTAAAAAAAAAACTACTTCTAATTCTAAAATACAATGACTGCTTTATGACTTACTTTACTAACAACTAGGGCAGTTAAGGGAACTCCTGGGTGTGGCACTGTAGGATCAGCACTGGACTGCGAACCACAAGGTCTACAGTTCAAACCCACCAGTTGCTTCTCGGAAATCCTATACAGGGTCTCTGTGAGTCAGAACCAACTTGATAGCACATAACAACAGCAGGGCAGTTAATGAGTGCTGGTGTGGATAAGCACACTACTGTTAACCACGAGGTTGGCAGTTCAAACCCAACAGTCACTCCTCAGAAACTCTATATAGGGTCCCTATGAGTTGGAACCGATTCAATGACACTTCACAACAACAACAAGGCAATTAACACAGAACCCTAATGGTACAACAATTAAATGCTTGGCTGTTAACCAAAAGGATGACATTTCAAACCCACCTAGTGACTTCAGGGGAGAAAGACCTGGCTTCTGTCAAGAGTACAGCCAGCTAAGCATTTCTGCTCTGCCAAGTGGGTTTTCTATGTGTGAGTCCACATCAGCTTAACAGCACCCAACAACAACAAAGGGCAGGTAACAAGGAAACGTACTTCATCATTGTTAACACTGGCCTTGCATTACTTATAAGAAATTATTTAGACGTTTTAGGATTATGTAATTTTAAAACACAGTGAATTGTTCAAATTAGTGATAACATTTCCCCTACTGTTACCACAAATATCAAATGCAAGAACACTATGATTTTGTAAAATACTACATAAATCTAATATTTTGCTGTTAGTATAAAAATTATTATTCCCAACAGAAATTCCCAACAATCTTACAAAGTAAACAGAATGGGTATTATTACAGTTTGAGAGTAAGTGAAGTCAACACTTAAGCCAGAAACAATAGACTTGGCTTCCTCCTACGAAAATTCCCTATCATATTTCACACTTCAAGATAGTAAAATGAGCCAATCTTTCCACAATTTGTTTATAAGACGTGTCTAACTTTAAAAAACTGAACTCTAATTAAAAACCTAATGTCATCTATAAAAGTATTGATCTTTACTCCTCTGATCACACAAAATATTCCTCAGAAAAGTCTATATTTAACACATTTCATAAAAATAGTAACCTTTAAGTTTATCATTGTTACTGACTGCCGTCGAGTCAGTTCTGACTCATAGCGACCCGTGTACGGTTTCTGGGGAGCAGCTGGTGGGTTTGAACGGCTGACCTTGTGGTTGGCAGCCCAGTGCTGATATTATATATCAGAGTCAAATATTGTTAAGTTTTCTTAATGAAATTTTATTTTATGTGCTGGGTCTACTTTCCCCAAACATGCATTCATGCCATAATTAAGGACAAAACTTAAACAGAAAGAAAGAAAAAGAAGAGGGCGAGATGAATACTAGCTTACAAAAATTGTACTGCAATTTAATGAGAATATTCCTATAGGTTTACTAATTTAATTACAAGCCTACACGAATTCAATCTCTTTACAAATTTCCATCCAAGATGTCTTACAACAATAGACAAAACCACAATGCAACAGAGAAAACTTACTTTTATTCGGTGATCATCCGTGTCTGCAACAGTTGCTACTCTAATAAACATGGGGTTTCTTTTGTCTACGACCTCCAGCCTCATTTTTTTCTGGAATCCATGTGGCGGTTTCTGCCATAACAGAAAATTGTATACAGTGTTAGAGGAAGAGACAGTACAGGAAGTGGACTTGATATTACAAAGACAGAATTAAAAAAAAATAAGGGGGGGAAGGAGCTATTTCAGAGAACAGACCTATCAGAACTCTCCAGATTCTAGGGTGGCGCTGGCCTTGACCCTCCCCATCAAATAACACAATCCCAACACATGTGCATAGGCCCTTAGGCATTAAAAACAGCCAGACACCTAGTGATGAGAGCACGTAAAACAGACTTAAGCAGGATACCTGATGATGCCGTTTAAAATGTTGTGTTTTGATTAATCATAGGGAAGACAGAACTTTTTCACAGTAGGTGGAAGTGTCTTGGCAAAAAAAAAAAAAAAAAAATCAACAAGCATGAAGATTACCATTAAAAGAGAAAACATTAATGTGACTGAGAGGAGGCACTAAGATTAGAAGCAGTATTAAAGGCAAAAAACAGAAGATGTCTGTAAAAAAGAAAATTAGCACCAAAACATGTAAGCTCGAATATCCTAGAAAAGCGGGAGGGAGCACGGAGAAACTAGAGCTTCTTAAGTACTCAGCAGATATCTGAAACTACTGAGGAAAGGGGACTGCTTAATATGAAAACAAAACAAAAGAGCAATGCCACTGAGCCCAGGATGGTAGGCAAATTAATTACACTTTCTGAGCTTCAGACTCCTCCTCTTTAAAATAAGGGAAATAAAATTGTTGTTATGAAAATTACATAAAAACTGCCAAAATAAACAATACAAGTCACCTAAGAGGTCAAACTAAAGAAACCTTTGTTTTCTGTCAATATAAATGACATTATATAGTATACCAATCTGGTATAACTTTACCCAGCTTACATACAGCAAAGTGTAATGTAGCTCTGATTGTATTAGACTACATTCCTGTCAGAAACAGTCCAATAAAAATAGCATAAAGGGATGCTACTTGGTATCACATAAGAAGGCATGGAGCATTTCAGAGAGCCTACCTCAGTTTTACAAGCCTATGAGTTTGATATGATCATACCTGGAATGAACCAGGTTCTTAAGTCTGATTTGCTATTTAAAATGAAAATTATCAATTAGATTTCTTCTAGTGACCAACGTCCACTGTCTCACTCCTTTCACAGTATTAATATACCTGGGATGCCACGCTAATAACTCAAATCTTCCTTGATAAGCAGGAGGTAGATCCAAGAAGAGGAAAATGAGTAGATAATTCATCTACTCAAGGGTGAACTTTAAGAACTGTCTCAGTCCTTAAAAAGAATAAAGTTGTCTAGGGTTGTGTCAGAGGCCTAGTATGGTACTGTAGGATAAGCCCAGACCACAAAGTTGGTTTGAAACACAAGGTTGGTGGTTCAAAATCACCAGTCACTCCTCATAAACCCTATACAAGGTTGCTATGAGTCAGAACTGACTCAATGACACTTAACAACAGAGTGGTCAAAGGACTCAGCTGCTAACCAAAGGATTTTTGGTTCAAATCTACCAGCCTCTCCATGAAAAAAGATGTGGCAATCTACTTCCATAAGGATTATAGTCTTGCTAACTGTGGGGAATCCTGGTGTGGCGCTGTGGGTTAATGCGCTGGGCTGCAAAGTCTTCTGAACCGCAAGGATGGCGGTTCAAGCTCACCAGCTGCTCCTTGGAAACCCTATACAGGGTCGCTGTGGGTCGGAACCGACTTAACAGTATTTAACAACAACAACAACACGGAGCCCTAGTGACAGAACATTTAACTGCTTTGCTACTAAATGAAAGGAAGGTGGTTCAAACCTACCTAGCAGCTCAGGATCACCTTGTAATCTGCTTCTGTAGAGATTGCAGCCAAGTAAACCCTATGGGGAATACACTTAATGGCACCCAAGGGATGTTTACACCCAGAACTAGATTTTTCCTTTACACAATGCTTGATACCAATAAATCATTCCTCTTTGCCATGTTTTAGAAATATTTTACGCAGAACATTTCCATCTTGTTAATATACTTTTTCTGTCTACTAATTCCACGTAACAGAATACTTAATCAAGGTTTCTAACATTACTCTTGCTAGTATGTGGTTCTCAGTAACACAAGAAGACTAGCCTGTCTCTCTGACTGTGCTACTTTTGGAGAAGGTTGAGGGTCACTCTTCAAACACTGATTCCTCCCAGTTTCAAAGTCAATTTGACTTTATTCTGAGTTATAGGAACATCTAAGTCCTCCAGGATGTATTGGCTCAGGGTAGGAAGGAGGATTATTACTCACATCCTTGAAGGTATAAAAAAATATCTTTACTGAATCTTGTAAAATAATTAACTTCAGGGTCCAGCTATGTGCAGCGATTTATACAACATCTCACAAATAGGGAATATTTCTTTTAAAATCCTGGAGTTACTCTCTTAGGTGAAATCATACATAATCTTTGATGTAGGTTTTCTTCATGTACTATGATTTTCCTTTTAAGTTTTTAGATGTTCTTTTCTTCTAAATTTGGGCCCATGCCTTCTAAATATTTCTACCACTTAAAATACTTGCAATTTATACTCAAAAGAATCAGCTAATGAAAAGTTTTATTTTTAATAAACTAATTAGTGACACTGGAGTCCTACTGTGACACTGTAGGATAAGCACTTGGACTATAAGAGTGGCAGTTCAAATATACAAGGTACTCCTTAGAAAACCTTTACAAGGGTGGTTATAAGTCAGAATCAACTCAAAGGCACTTAAAACTAACAGCAATAATTATTAACATAAAAAAATCTCAACTATTTAATACATCTTTCACTTCTTTTAAATTCATAGGAAAATAAGAATTATAAAGTGACCTAAGTTGAACAGACGGCCACCACTCGTCTGTCAGTTTGTCGTACTGTGGTGGCTTGTGAGTTGCTGTGATTCTGAAGGCTATGCCACTGGTAGTTTAAATGCCAGCAGGGTCACCCATGGTGGACAGGTTTCAGATGAGCTTCCAGACGAAGACAGACTAGGAAAAGAGAGTGATGAACTACTTCCGAATATTTAGTCACTGAAAACCTTATGAATAGCAGAGAAACACTGTCAGATATAGTGCCAGAAAATGAGACCCTCAGGTTGGAAGGCACTCAAAATGCAACAGGGGAACAGCTGCCTCCTCAAAGTAGAGCTTTGATGACACAAATGGAGTAAAACCCATGGGAGAAAAGCCCGCGGGACCTTCATTTGCTGATGGGGTAAAACTCAAAATGAAGAGAAATAGCTGTAAACATCCACTGAAAATCAGAACATGGAATGTACAAAATATGAATCTGGGAAAATCTGAAGTTGTGAAAATGAAATTGAACATATAAAACATCGATATCTTAGGCATAAGTGAATTGAAAAGGACTGGTATTGGCCATTTTGAATCTGACAACCACATGGATTACTATACCGTGAATGACAAATTAAAGAGGAATGGTGTTGCATTCTTTGCCAAAAAGAACATATCCAGATTAGTCAAGAGGTACAACACTGTCTGTGATAGGATAATATCCATGTATCTATAGGGAAGCCCAGTTAATACCACTATTATTCAAATTTACACACCAACCACTAAAGCCAGTGAGGATGAAATAGAAGAATTCTACCAACTTCTTCAATCTGAGATTGATCAAATATGTAATCAAGCTGTACTGATCAATACTGGTGATTGGAATGCAAAGGTTGGGAGCAAAGAGGAAGGCTCAGGAGTTGGAAAATATGGCCTTGGTGGTAGAAATAATACTGGAGAACGTTTGATAGAATTCTGCAAAACCAATGATTTGTTCCTTTCAAATACCTTCTTTAGACAGCATAACAGATGACTATACACATGGACCTCACCAGATGGAATACAGAGAAATCAAATTGACTATATCTGCATAAAGAGACGATGGAAAAGCTCCATATCATAAGTGAAAACAAGGCCAGGGGCAGACTGTGCAAGAGACCATTAATTACTTATATGCAAAATCAAATTGAAGCTAAAGAAAATGAAAACAAGTCCACAAGAGCCAAAACATGACCTTGAATATATCCCACCTGAATTTAGAGAGCATCTGAAGAACAGATTTGATACATTAAACAAGGAAGACAGAAGACCAGAAGAGTTGCAGGATGACATCAAGAATATCATACATGAAGAAAGCGAAAAGTCATTGAGAAGACAAGAAAGAAGGAAAAGATCAAAATGGATGTCAGAAGAGACACTAAAACTTGCTCTCCAGCGTAGAGATGCTAAAGCAAATGGCAGAAATGAGGAGGTTCAAGAGCTGAACAGAAAATTTCAAAAATGAGCTTGAAATGATAAAGCCAATTATTACTACAAAATGTGTGAAGATCTGGAGTCAGAAAACCAAAAAGGAAAAACACACTCAGCATTTTTCAAGCTGGGGGACTGAAGAAAAACTTCAAGCCTCGACTTTTGTTATTGAAAGATTCTCTGGGCAAATTTTTGAATGATGTAGAAAGCATCAAGAGAAGATGGAAGAAATACACAGAGTCGCTGTACCAAAGGAAATGGTTAATGTTCAACCATTTCAAGAGGTACCATAAGATCAAGAGCCAATGATACTGAAGGAAGAAGTCCAAGGTGCACTGAAGGAATTGGCAAAGAACAAAGCACCCGGAATTGATGGAAAAAAAATTGAAATCCTTTAAGAGTGTGAGGTGGCACAGGAGGCACTTACTCATCTCTGCCAAGAAATTTGGAAGACAACTATCTGGCCAACTGACTGGAAGAGATCCATATTTGTGCCCATTCCAAAGAGAGGTGACCCAAAGGAATGCGGAATTCCTTGGACAATCTCTTTGACATCCCATGTGAGCGAAGTTCTGCAAAAGTTAATACAGAAACGGCTACATTCATGTATTGACAGAGAATGTCTAGAAGCTCAAGCTGATTTCAGAAGAGTCTGTGGAACGAGGGATATCATTGCTGATGTCCAATGGATCTTTCCTGAAAGCAGAGAATATCAGAAAGATGTTTACTTGTGCTTTATTGACTATAAACATTGTGTGGTCATGACAAGCTATGGACAACATTGTGAAGTATGAGTATTCCAGGATACTTAATTATGCTCATGAGGAATCTGCACCTGGACCCAGAAGCAGTTGTTCGAACAGAGCATGGGAACACTGAATGTTTTAAAATTAAAAAAGGTGTGCGACAAGGTTGTATTCTTTCACCATAGTTATTCAACCTGTATGCGGAGCAAATCATCTGGGAAGCTGGGTTCTATGAAGAAAAACATGGCATCAGGATTGGATGAAGACTCACTAACAATCTGTGATATGCAGATGATACAACCTTGCTTACTGAAAGTGAAGACGACTTAAAACATTTACTGATGAAGATCAAAGAGCATAGCCTGATGAAGATCAAAGAGCACAGCCTTCGGTATGGATTACATCTCAATGTCAAGAAAATAAAAATCCTCACCACTGGACCAATAAACAACATTCTTATCAACGGAGAAAAGACTGAAGTTGTCAAGGACTTCATTCTTATTGGATCAACTATCAACACTCATGGAAGCAGCAGTCAAGAAATCAAACGACATATTGCATCAGGCAAATCTGCTGCACAAGAACTTTTAAAAGTGTTGAAGAGCAAAGATGTCAGCTTGAGGACTAAGGTGCACCTGACCTAAGCCATGGTATTTTCAGTAACCTCATATGCATGCGAAAGTTGGACAGTAAGGAAGACCATAGAAGAATTGATGCTTTTGAGTTGTGGTGTTGGAGGAGACTATTGAAAGTGCCATTGGCTGCCAGAAGAACCAATAGATCCATTTTGGAAGAAGTGCTGCCAGAGTGCTCCTTGGAGGCCAAGATGGCTAAACACTGTCTCCTATAGTTTGGACATATAGTCAGCAGGGACCAGTCACTGGAGAAGACTATTATGTTTGGTAAGGTGGAGGGTCAGAGAAAAAGAGGTCACTATGAGTTGGTACTGACTCAATGGCACCTAACAACAACAAATGTGAAACAGAAAAAAAAGTAATACTACATTTAATTTCCGATTCTCTCTCTATACAAGAATTGCTGTTGCTGTTAGTTATTATCAAGTCGGTACTGACTCATAGCGACCCTATGCACAACAGAACGAAAAACTGCCTGGTCGTGGGCCAACCTCGCTATTGTTGCCACGCTTGAGCCCACTGATGCTACTACCACTTTGCCAATCCATCTTGCTGGGGATTTTTCTCTGACCCTCCACCTTACCAAACATGATATCCTTCTCTAGTGACTGGTCCCTTCCGACAATTAGGTTTACTTTACATCTTAAAAACCAATATGTAAATTACTCTTTAAAAAGCAGATTATTAGCAAGGTACTGTGGATTAGAGCAAGGTAATCTAATAAAAACAGATGAAATGGTATGTTGGTACTTAACAGTTTTATAAGAATAACAATTTTAAAAATAACATCTCAACTTGCCATGAAAATTCCAAAAGAACGAGCAAAGATATTTTTAATTTAAAAAAGAAAAAAAAAGAACTTCTCCTGTCCTATTTGGTACTTAACAGTTTTATAAGAATAACAATTTTAAAAATAACATCTCAACTTGCCATGAAAATTCCAAAAGAATGAGCAAAGATACTTTTAATTTAAAAAAGAAAAAAAAAGAACTTCTCCTGTCCTATTTGGTCTTCCAGAAAAGCTAGAGGAAAAAGGTTTGGTGGAAAATGACAATAACTTAATCCATACCATCTCAAGTAAAATTATTTTCCAAGAAAACTTTCATGTCCAAAATGAAAGTATATTTTAAATATCACAATCAAGACCAGGCATAAATTTAATTGTTTACATTATACAAGTTAAACCTATTTCTTTCCCACTCCTTTCATGGCTCAGGAGAACCATTTGTTGTTCTTCCATGTCAATGAATGAATGTCGGCAACACAAATTCATCAGCTAATGGGAAACGCATTATCTCACCACTTTGAATGCTCTTGCAGGAGCAGGTAAAGAATTGGTTTCTTCTAAATATTTATCCCAAGAAAAATGCTTCACATTTGGGTAACCTAAAATAGAAAGAAAAAAGTAAATCCTAAGAAATTTAATCAAAATCATTGTAAGAATCATAAAATTATAAAAACTACAGGACTACTTGTAGTAACAAATTTGTTTTCATCCTCATCATGAATGCTCCACTACTTTGTAAATGAAAAAATTTTTAATGCATATATGAAGGGGCTTTAGAAAGTTCATGGGAAAACTGAATTAAAAGATTATGGAATGTTTTTTTCATGAACTGTTTTAAGTATATATACACATTGTTGTTATTAAGAGCCATTGAATTGGTTCTGACCCATAGTGACCCTGTATAGGGCTTCTAAGGAATGGCTGGTGAACTTGAACTGTCAACTTTGCAGTTCAAACAGACTTGGCAGTCCAGTGCATTAGCCTGCAGCCCACACCAGGACTCAAATAATACAGGTTGTTGTTGTTACGTGCCATTCAGTCAGTTCCATCTCATAGCAATTCTATATAGGATTTCCAAGGAATGGCTGGTGAGTTTGAACCACCGACCTTGCAGTTCAAACTGACCATGCAATGCAGAACGCCACACTAGGACTCCCCTAATAATATATGTTGTTGTTATGTGCCGTGGAGTCGGTTCCGACTCACAGCGACCCTGTACAGGGTTTCTCAGGCTGTAAATCTTTGCGGGAGCAGAATGCCTCATCTTTCTCCTGCGGAACAGCTGGTAGTTTCGAACTGCTGACCGTGAGGTTCATAGCCCGATTCGTAACCACTACGCTACCAAAGCTCCTTTAGAGGTAACATATTTTCAACTAAGGATAGTCTTATAACACATGACACAAATCAAAAAGAAACCATAAGTATCTAAAAGGCAGTAATTTTATTTGTACTAATTAAGAACGTTTTCTTATGTGTGCAAATCAGAGTACCAATATGTAAATGTGAAAATGTGGCTAAAAGTTAAATGGCCATCAGTATAGAAGTGTGCAAAAAATGCGTTTGTGTTTTTAAATGCCATCAAGTCAAATCCAACTCACAGTGACACTGTACAGGGTTTACAAATCTGCTGTAAATCTTGGCAAGAACCGAAAGCTTCGTATTTCTCCCATCCGGTGGCTAATGGGATCCAAGCTTGTGGTTTGCAGTCCAGTGCTTACCCCACTGAGCCACTGCACCCCCCCAAAATGCATAGTACATATGAAATGCAAAGAATTTATTAAAACCAAGCTAAAACTACCCCCACTGCCATTGAGTCAATTCCAGCTCATCGTGATCCTGTGACTAACTACATCTTTATGGGAGCAGAAGGTCTCATCTTTCTTTCATGGAGCAGCTGGATTTGAACTGCTGATCTTGTAGTTAGCAGCTTAAGATGTAACCTACTATGCTACCAGGACTCCTTGTAAAAAGGATGTTGTTTTTATGTGCTGTGGAGTCGGTTCCGACTCATAGCGACCCTATACAGGATTTCCAAAGAGGCTTTCTACTCCCGTAAAGATTTACACCCTCGGAAACCCTGTACAGGGTCGCTATGGGTCGGACCCGACTCGATGGCACTCAACAACAACAACAACAACAATTCTTTACAGGAGAGAAAGCCTCATCTTTCTCCCACAGAGCAGCTGGTAGTTTTGAACTGCTGAAATGCCAACCTTGCAGTTAGCAGCCCGATGCATAACCTACAGCATCACCAAGGCTCCTTAAAATATATGTGAAACTCAATGGATTTATTACAAAGTTTGTTTACTTATATACACTATTATGTACAGTGTTTCATGTACCTCATCATATTGTTAAAAACAAATGTTGTTAAAAACTAAAACAAATGATTCATTCCCTCTCCCTCTTTGTTTCTCCCAGAGTCCAAAATCCACATCAAGAACTAATGCAGTTCATAATGGTGGGCCGGTGGGGTGGGAAACTGACTTCATAAAAGAGGCCAAGAAAATAAATAAACACATTAGAGATAATGGAAGTCAAGGTTTTCATCGATGATGAAGAGAGGTATTAGTTTAAAAAGAGAAAAAATAGAATGAACTGGGGTCCTGCTTTTCCACTGAAGTTTGGTATAAAATCAAGATTTAAATAGATACAAATAGATATGAAATAATATATATATAACAATAGATTTACAGATACATGCTTTCTCTCTCTGTCTACTAAGAAAGCCTGTAAGTCACTACATAACTCAGTAGCAATGAACACATTTAGTGCCCACAATTCAGTTTCTAAATACTAAGGAATAGATAAACACCGGTATCTTAGGCATTAGTGAGCTGAAATGGATTGGTATTGGCCATTCTGAAGCTGACAACCACATAGTTTACTATGCCGCGAATGACAAATTGAAGAGGAACGGTGTTGCATTCATTGTCAAAAAGAACATATCCAGATCAGTCATGAGGTACAATGCTGTCTGTGATAGGATAATATCCATGCATGACAGGGAAGCCCAGTTAATACCACTATTATTCAAATTTACTCACCAACCACTAAACTTCTTCAATCTGAAATCGATCAAATATACAATCAAAATGCATTGATCATTACTGGTGATTGGAATACAAAGGTTGGGAGTAAAGAGGAAGGATCAGTAGTTAGAAAATATGACCCTGGCGACAGAAAAGATGCTAGAGAACGCATGATAGAATTTTGCAAAACCAATGATTTGTTCCTTTCAAATACCTTCTTTAGGCAGCATAAGCGACGACTATGCACATGGACCTCAGCAGATGGAATACATAGAAATCAAACTGACTACATCTGTGGAAGGAGACGATGGAAAAGCTCCATGTCATTAGTGAAAGCAAGGCCAGGGGCAGAATGTAGAACAGACCATCAATTACTCCTATGCAAATTCAAACTGAAGCTGAAGAAAATGTAAACAAGTCCATGAGAGCCAAAATATGACCTTGAATATATCTCCCCTGAGTTTACAGATAATCTGAAGAACAGATCTGATACATTAAACATTAAAGACTGAAGACAAGAAGAGCTGTGGGATCAAGAACATCATACATGAAGAAAGCAAAAAGTCATTAAGTAGACAAGAAAGAAGGAAAAGGTCAAAATGGATGTCAGAACAGACACTGAAACTTGCTCTCCAGTGTAGAGATGCTAAAGCAAATGGAAGAAATGAGGAGGTCCAAGAGCTAAACAGAAAATTTCA